AATGTAGGTAGTTCAAGTTTATTTATCATAAAAGCACTGGGAGAGATGGGGAAAGGCGGGGAGACTATGATAGAAACAGAGAGGAAAATAAAGAAAGAATGCCACAGTGATGGAGGCAAAGAAAATTAAATACTGCACAAATATGCGAGAATCCTTATTACCTATGTTATTACTGATATAACAGTGAACAATTGCTTTTTTTGCTTATGGATTCTTAGCAATGTGAGTCCAGAGACCATGTCATATCTGAATTTGAATGCACATAGCAAGTGTTCAATAAATACATTTTATTGTTAACACATGAACGTTTGAAATCCGCAGTTTGATATTCAGAAAGGAAAAAAAATGCTGTTGTATTTAGTTTATTCAAGGATCTCTTGTTTGTGTGTTTTTTATTTCTGTATTGCTTCATTATTTTTTTTTGTTTCCATCCCCTTATCACTTCTCCTTTGCAACCATAAGCTTATTCTCTGCATCTGTGGGTCTACTTACTTTTGTTTATTCACTTATTTTGCTTTTTTAGACTCTACACATGAGATTATACTGTATTTGTCTTTGTCTGACTTTATTTTACTTAGCATAATATCCTCTAGGTCCATCCATGTTGTCAAAGATGACTAGATTTCATTCTTCTTTGTTGCCAAATAAAATTCCATTGTGTGTGTATGTGTGTGTACACATCTTCTTTATCCCTTCATCTACCGATGTACATTCAGGCTGCTTCCCTATCTTGGCTATTAATTGTTCAATGAACATAGGTGCAGTACATATAGCTTTTCAAATTACTGTTTTTATTTTCTTTAAGTAGGTACCCAAAATTTTTAATTTTTTTAAGAATCTCTATATTGTTTTGCAGAGTAACTGCACTAATGTACAATCTTACCAACAATGTACACTGATTTCCTTGTCTCTACTTCTTCACCACCACGGTTTGTTGATTTAGTAATGATAGCCATTCTGACTGGTTTGAGGTGATTTCTCATTGTGATTTGCATTTCCCTGCTGAGAGTGATATTGAGCATCTTTTCATATGTCTGTTGGCCATCTGTATATCCTTGGGAGAAATGTCTATTCAGGTCCTCTGCCTGTTTTTTTTATTGCATTGTTTGTTTGGTGTTAAGTTTTCTGAGTTTTTAAAATATATTTTAGATATTAATCACTTATCAGATGTATCATTGGTGAATGTCTTCTCCCTTTAGTAGGCTATCTTTTCATTTTGTTGATAGTTTCCTTCAGTGGAAAACTTTTTAATTTGATGTAGTCTCATTTGTTTTTCTTTTGTTTTCTTTGCTTGAGGTGATATATCCAAAAAGATATTGCTAGTGTCAGAGTTTAATGCTTATGGTTTTTCAAGGAGTTCTATAACTTTAGGTCTAACATTTAAATCTTTAATTAATTTTGAGTTTATTTTTGTTTATGGGGTAGGAAAGTGGTCCAATTTCAGTTTTTTGCATGTATCTGTCCAATTTTCCCACCATTACTTAATGAAAAGACTGTCTTTACTTCATTGTGTTTCCTGGCCTCCTGCATCATAGATTAATTGACCAAGTAAGTGAGGATTTTTTTCTGGGCTTGCTATTCTATTTCTTTGATCTATGTATCTGTTTTTCCCCCAGTACCATATTGTTTTGGTTATTGTAGTACTTTAGTATAGTTTGATATCACCCACTCTGTTCTTTCTCAAGATTTCTGTAGCTATTTGGGGTCTTTTATGGTTCCATGTAAATTTTAGGATTAGTAGTTCTAATTCCGAGAAGAATGCCATTGGTGTTTTAATAGGGGTTGCATTGACTCTGTATATTAATTTAGGTAATAAGGACATTTTAACAATATTAGTTTTTTGAATCCATGAGTAAAATATATTCTTCCATTTATTTGTATCATGTTCAACTTCTTTCTTCAATGTCTTGTAGTTTTCAGAAATATACTTTTTTAAAAGATACTTCCAATATCATGGATTCCTTGAGTAGTTACCCAAAAGTAAAACTCTTAAAGAACACACAGTAGGAAAAGGGACTATTTTTGTGCTGCCAGAGTCCACAAAACTAATGCAGTTTCTTCCTTTGTCTCTCCTCTATATTTTTCTCCATCCTGAGTCCTGGTGCTCATGTTGTAAGGGCATATCAATAAGCATAGGTATTCATGAGAGGTGTTGTCAGTTCTGAGTGCTATACTTTAAGAAAACTACTGATATATTAATTTGTATGTGGTAAGAAGAAGATGTCTGTCATGTAGAATACCAGAAACCACCTTGTAACTGGTGCTTGAAGCAACTAGTGTTGTTGAACCTAGAGAAGAAAAAGGTATGACAGATGTCTTGATTACTTACAGGATTATCATCTCAAAAATTTATTCTATGCAACATCTAGCCCACAACTAACACCAATTCATGTATACTGCAAGGCAGTTTATTTTGAGCAACAACAGGAATCTAGCACCAATAAATAGATATTACAATGGGGAATATATACATGCTCAACAGGTTAAAAAAATTACAATTGGTATATTTAGGAATGAAATTATATGAGGTCAGAACAAACTTAGTCAAGTGAATGTCCTTGGCAAAAACAATGAATTTGAGAAGACTGTGGTCCGACCATAGTACACAAGACAATTCATGACTTCATTGAAAGGACGGAAAGAGAATCATCCTAGAAGTACAAGGCATTTCCACCTTATGGGTCTCAGAGAGAAATTTGTTAGTGGCATCCCAGGTTGTAATTCTGTATACATTTTCCTGAAGTCACTTGGTTTTATACAGTGGTTCTATAGTGCATTTACTAATACAAATAGTTAAGAAGACTTATGTTAAATGACTTGGAAACCCAGTGTTCATTCATTCATTAATTCAGCAAATATATATTTATTGACTGCCCATTGTGCCTCAAGCATTGTTCTAGGCTCTGGGGATAGAACTGTGAACAAATAGAAAAAGTCCCTTCCCATAAGAACTTATATTCTAGTGATTACTTAAATTTTACAGATAAATGTGTAAAGAATTAGTATGGATTCTTTCCAAAAATAATTTCCCCTCTATGTGTGTTGATGGCTGCCAAATTTACCTTAATTTACATTCTAAGTAAAGAATTATCTTTTAAAAATACATTTTAATATAATAATCATAGTCATCAGTGATAATTTATTTGCAAAGTTTAAAAATTAAAAGGAAATATTTCCTTTTCTAGAAATTTTTTCACCTTTGTGGTGAAAGAAAAGATGTGGCTCCTGTTTGATGCACAGGCATATTGAGATTTTTTTTCTTTTTACCCCAGGAGCTTGAATCTGCAGTTACCACGTAATTCTGTCCAAAATTTGTTTCTTGGGTTACCAAACCATTATTTATGCTTTTGGTATCTATCTATGTTATAAACATCAAATAATTCAATAAAATATACAATTTTTAAAATTTAGTGTCACATTAGAAATTCCTAATGGTACAGTAATATATCGTAATGTTACTTTAAATATTAGAGAAATTATGTTAGAGGTGATTAGATCTATAAAGCTCTGTTTAGAAGTTAAAAGGCAGAGTGACTTTCTAAGGCCTGGAACCATTTCACACAGTTTTATTTTCTCTGCCATTTGAATAGGCTGTAGACTTGGCCGAGGTTTATTAAGAAGGCTGCAAATGGTCCGTGCTGCTATTCCCGACACTAGCGACTTAGGGTAAAGCTCCTCCTAACTCTTCTGGTCTATCAAATGCAAGGTGTTTGTGTTACCATCTGGCTCAAATTCCCTATTATACTATGGTTCAGTTAAATCCTAGCAGGCAGATGACTTTCTGGTTTTCACTATTAAAATATGCATTACCTGAGAACCTTAGTCAATAATTAACTTTCTGAGTTTTGTATGGTATTGATATCATTTACACCATGGTATGTTTTGAGCATTTACTGGATACTACACAGTGTTTACATCATTAAAATGTTTCAGCTATTTAATTCTCACAACCTCTCTGCTAGATATTTGTTTCACCCCCATTTTAGAGAGGAAGAAGCTGAAGGGAAAATATGTGTGGCACCAAAAAGTTATAGGACTGCTGAGCATCAGGAGGAGAATCTGGCTCTTAACTATCCTCTGACTTAACATGATCTTAATTTAGCAGCAGCCCCCAGAAAACTTCCTCAGAAAACAGACCCAGAAAACCTCAGTGATCTGCCCAGGATTATAAGAGTCTGGTGGGGGATGTGGGAGAGTCACACTTTATATCTGATGCTAGTTACTTACAATGCAGATGCTTTTAGAATGGCTCATTCTGCCCACCTAGGTGAGTTTCTAAGCTAATATTTTTTTCTCACAATTTTAAAAAAATCACTTGTGTACTTAGAGAAGTAGGTGTTTTTAAAAAAAGATAATAGAAATAGACATTTAAAAATTTTATTTGGCAAAATTATTTTTTTTGAAATAGCTTTTTGATTTCTATGGTAATGTTCAATGTTAAGCTAATCTTTTCTTTTACACTTGCTGGTAGCAGTGCTTTCATTCATAATGTGAAATCTTTGAGACTCTCTTGTATAGAGTTGGAATTTTCATCTGCCTATTATGCTTGTTACATTATGTTCTCCAAGTGAGATTTTTTTAAAAGTCCCTGATATTAAATAGTGATTCATTCTTTATTATTAAGGCAGATAGACCAGCCATTTCTAACAATGTAGTGAAGCTCATTTTCCTGTCTTTTTTTAAAATACTGTATTTTGTTCAACTTCACACTGACTTTACTGAAGGAGAAAAGTTAAAATTGCCTCGTTGACAATGCAATGATATCAGTTTTTCCTTCACAGAAATTAAACAAAATAAAACTCTTACTTGTGAATTTTCAGGGGTCGCTTGTGCTTTTATAAAAATGCCTAACAAGTTTCAAGGCTTTTTTTTCCCAAGATAAATCTTTTTGTTTTGAAGCATTTAGTTTTGTGTTTTTTGAAGTGGAGTATGGATAAGAGAGTCCATTTAATGAAATGTAGAGTTGACTCATCTTTTTTTCTCTCTTCTCTCTCCTCCAGCTCTTTCTCTTTGTTGTCTGGAACTTTGAGCTCTACATGATACCACTGGTTTTGTTGTTACTATTGACATGGAACTACTTCTTGATAATATCAGGGAAAGATAACAGGCAACGTGATACAGTAAGTCTCTATTTTCTTGTTTGTCTCTGTTTTTGTTCTTATGTCTAGTCCCTCTGACAAGATCAACATTGAATTTGGTTTTACAAACCAGAAATTCCGTCCAGAAATATTCAGATTTGGAGAAAAGTTTTATCAGTTCAAAACTAACAACTCTTTTGTTCTAACACAGTAGAAAGTATACACTATTTCTGACATTACTCATCTTGGTAGGAACTAAAATTGGGAGCACACCAAAGTATGAACTGCAATTTTTAATTATAAATGGGTTATTCCAAATGATTATTTCTTTCATTCTACTTATATGTTTTTGTCTTAATGAATTCTTATTTAAAACATAATGTCACAAAATTATTAGTAATCAGACCAAATGAAATGTATTTTATTTAACATTTCTCTGTGGACTATCATTAAAACAAACATAGGATTGATGATGATCTTTGGCCTGAAGAAGTACACAAAGTACCTTAATTCAGCAAACATTCACTGAACTACGGCGAATATCCTTCTATGTGTCAGAGGTGTATTAGGATACAGAGGTGTTCGAGGATAAAGAGCTTTCATTTAACCAAGGGAAAGTTAGACGGTGCCCTTGCCCTCTCTGGCATTTTTTAAAGTTTTTAGGATGTGTCAGACCACCTTCTCCCTCTCTAGAAGAGGTTTAGACTGAGAAGCAGAATCTAGCCACAGAACAATCACATTTGTTGTTTTTCTGCCAACCGTGATTCCGCTTAGATTATTTCAATTGCTATACCCTTAGCAAACATACAACTTCAAAAAGCTTTCTCATATATGAATAAATGGGAGGGACGTTACTTCTCCAAATAGGACATTTGCAATTTGATAACTCGATAGACAGTTGTTGACAAGAATTTAAAGTCTTGTCAAACATGAGAAACCTTGGTAGTTATATGTACTCATCAGATTACATGGTTTTTTTTTCTTTTTTGCTTGCTGTTAAGGGTCTTTATTTGACTTATAATCAAGATGTTTTGCCATAATAATGCAGAAACAGTTATCTGATCATCAACTTAATGACTTATGTAATATATATAATACTTTATTATAATAACACCATGATAGTTGCACAGACATACCTGTGACATAAAAGAATTTCCCTTTTAAATAGTACTAGCAAAATATACTTCAGATGGTAACACAAACAAAATATACTCTTAATAATTTGCTTTATCATCAAAATAAAAGAAAAACCCTGATGAACAACCATCAAGTATGTGACAAAGTTGCCAACAAATCGGTCCGTCCCTCTCACTAGGTTATAAATTTGAGGGAGGGCACTTTGTTAGTCTTTGTACTTGTCTCTAACACATGCTTTGCAAATTAGAGATGTTCAAAGCATTCATTATAAAGTTTAACAAACTAAATGTGAGATTGCTAATGGAGATTTTAGTGGTTAGCATCAACACACAAGACGTTATTATTGTTGGCAAGAATTTTATGGATGTTTTTAAATTGCACACTGAGAGACAAGCCTCAAATACCATAAGCATTGGTGTCAGGGGGACTCATAGGTACTTTTGTCAACTAATACAAAATGTTTTCTTTAAGAAAATAGGACTCTCTCAGACAATTGCTTTTTTGTCTCATTTATTTCTGGGAGATTGTTGAGAGACAAGAATATCTACTTTTCATTCAGTTGCCTTGAGACAAATTTGCAAATAATATATTATATTTGCAAATAATATTATTTGCAAATAGTGAAAAGTGGTAATTTGGTTTCAGCTTTCTAATCCTATAAGAGTGCTTATCTTCAATATTTAGTCATTGGTTTGAGTATTCTTAGTGAAAAATTTTGAAACTATAGACTTTGCTTGTTATCTTCTCCAGAATATACCTGCTTTAGCTGAAAAGGTTCACTTCTAGAGGAGAAATAATATATAATATATTCCCTTGTACTTAATATTCTCTAAGAATTTTTATAAAACTATTGAAAAGTTACGTATTATGTAAATTTTTTTACTTCCCTCCCCCGCCCCCACACAAAAAATATAACTTCAGAATAGTATTTGCCGCATCTTTTCTTTTAGGCACGTCTCTAACAGACTGCCCCTTTAAGCCATGGACAGCATTTTTTTCCCCTGCACAGCCCTCTGTGAAACACTGCATAGTCTAACTTTCATGGAATGCCAACTATACTCCATAACTCCCAGTAATTGCCTTTTCTTTGCCCAAAACACACATAGACACATAGTCTGTTCTTTCGAGACGCCAGAGCAGCAATCACAACGTTTTATTCAGCTCCTCATTCACTGGCTCAGTTGAGACCTTATGTAACTCTTAAAGCCAATTTGTCTAATTGTGTTTTCTGCCATACCCAGCTGTGCATTTGTACTGGTTGCTCCTTTTGAAAAGAAACCTGGATTATACTATTATACTTTGCTAGTTACAAATTTTACATATATATATATATCACATTTTTATACATATATATTCACGCACACATAAATTAAAGGAAGGTGTTTGTAGGGGTTGCCACGCTGTGCTTTAGTGACTACTATGCAGTGCATAGCACTAGAAGAATAGCATTTTGCCCTAAGTTCTTATTGGTATCCACAAAACAATGCAGAATTTTTTCCGCTTGTGTGAAAACTTTAGGGAATGTCTGAAGTGCTTTAATCACACTGTTGGCTGATTCCAAACTATGAAACTTTCTGTTTAGGGGGTGAGGAGGGGGGGCGGGTAGAGAGAGAAAGAGAATATGAATTATGAATAAATGAATATAAATGAATTTTCTGTCATGAAAAACAAAATCTCATCTGTACAGTCAGCTGAGAGAATTCAATTAGGATGAAAATTATTTAAAAAATATAAATCAAAATGACCTTCGGGTTTGTATAGCAGAAAGAAAAGGAAATATCGCTTATGTAGGGAGTTAAAAGAGAAAAGAAAATAAACACTGTGAAAGATGAAAAGTACATAGATGGATAAAAATTCTGTCTTCAACATATTGATTGATAGTTGAGATTAATACTAAAATAGGAAAGGATTTCTTTGTGTGTTTATTGTTTATTTAGGAGATCATTTCCTTTCTTGGAGGCTTAAGATCACAGGAGCTGAAACCCCCTATCTTTTTCCCACCATGGTGCCTGTTCTAGTTAATGAGAAAAATGACATGTGATCCTTGCCAAGTACCTTTTGCTTCCCTTAATGAGCTGAGCCAGTGGAGGACAGGATAAGGAAACAGTCACTCCTGAGGCGAATGCTGTAGACTCTGAGGTGCCCGTGAGAAAGAGGCATGGTTAGAATTGGTGTTTCACCTCTGCTGTTTCCTAGTTGGACTTGTTAAAAATAAGCAATCCTAGATCTGAATCTACCTATACTCAGATCATGACATTAAAATTTCCAGCATGAGAGTTGTCAGGCTTTTCCAGAGGAAACTGTTTAATACAGGCTGCATTCGGAAATGTCTCTGGCATGAAGGCAATGTAAAGATAGGAACGTGTCTTGGTTTGAACTGTCAGTGCAAAACCTGGGGAAAAGCCCCCCGCCCCCAGCACTGTTCAGGAGGCTTGTGCCCACTCTTCACATCACAGTTACTGTGGGCTGAAATGGTGTATGTTGAAGAGTAGATGCCAGGAAGTGGCCTTTACTGTGGCCTTTACTTACTACTGACCCCTCATCACAGCCCGGGCACTGTGTTAAGCACTTTCTTTCCTGTCATTTAGTCCTCCCCCAGGAGAGAGAAGCTGATTGTGTCAGCCCCGCCCCTGGGCTGGATTCTCCTACGTCAGGTGACGCTGGCTCTCTTCCTTTCTGGCAGGCAAGGGAACATACTCCTGAGGAATAAGCATGGCTACAAGAGCCCTTCCCTGAGAGTGGAGAACCCAGTCTCAGAGAATGAAAGAAATGGGTTAGCCAAGCAGACAGGGTCTATTGCACCTCTATGAGACAGGTATCATTATAACTACTTTACATCCAGGGAAATAGGGCAGAGAGCTTAAATAGTTTAGCCAAAAGCACGCAGTTAGAAAGTGGCAGAGTGGGAGTTAGAACCTGTCCATCTGTCTGACATTTGTGCTGTTCTCCTCACCACCGGTCAGTCACATTCCCTCTTAGGGCTGTGTTTTGGTACATCCTAGGTCTCCCCGGGCATCTTGAGAGTGAGTTTCTCACTTGAGTTGCAGAAAAGCCAGTAGCACTCACTCTACCTTTCAGCACACTGATTGAAGGAAAAACCCTTATTTTCCTCATTCCACCCCAACCCCCATAGCCTCTTTACCTCTCATTCAGGGAAATGGAGCAGATATTGATTAAGCAACTTCTATGTATCGGTATTCTGCTAAGCCTTTTAGAGACATAATCTCTTTTTATTCTTCACCATAACTGTATCAAATAAATTATCCTATATGATTTTATCTGCATTTTACAATTGAGAAAATCAAAAAGGATAAAGAATGAACTCCACAGAGTAAGCGGGATGTGAACCCAGTGTTGCTGTGTTCTGAAAGTCTGGTTATTTCCATGGTACACGCTTGGGCATGACTTTCCCAAGGGGTCACTTTCCAAGTGTCCAGACCCTTACATGGAATCCCAGGGAGTCTCAAATTCCTTATGAGGTACCCACTGACCTCTCAAGAACTAGTGCTGTTTGATCCCAAGTGACCCCATTAATTTAAAAAACACTCATGACCTGGAGGACTACTTTCCATCCACCCCGGTGAGCATGGGAGGAGTAATTAAAGCTGAAAATCCTTCACATTAGTACAGAAAGTCTTCAAATGTCTTTGACATACAAAAATTCTTCAATAGCATTTTTTAATTACACTTTAAAAGAACATTCATTTTTACTGTTATGATATTCCTCCCACATAATCTCAGTTACTTAATCAATGGAGGCATTAAGACTGAAGAGCAGAGTAGATCAATGAAATCATTTTCTGACTCAGGATCCGACTGTGACACAAACTGAGCAAAGCCTGCCTGCTAAAACACTCTGGTAAATACGGAAAGGTTTGTTAGCTCCCTCAAACGTCACAGACCTC